AAACCCATTAGTTGTAACTTCTTCAATAAGACGCAATGATTACGTAACTGTATCAAAAGCTTTTTGCAGATCAAGGAGCACCATACCAACAAAGCACCCTTGGGAAGTTTCTGTCCTCAAATAATCAGTCAAATTAGACATGTTTCAGTCAAATAATCATGTCGAAAACCAGATTGAAATTCATAAGTTATATCATTTTCTTTGAAGTATCTTTCAATTTGAACACAGACCAATTTTTCTAGAATCTTTGATGCTACGCTTAAAACACTAATAGCTATAGTTGCTAACATCAGTTTTGTCTTTCTTTTTATAAAGTGGAGTCACTTTTGCTATTTTCATATCCTATGGAAAGGTACTCGTCAAGATAGATAGGTTCATTAAGTAACTTAGAGGCTTAATTAAAACCTTTGCACCATCTTTTAGAAATTTAGCTGGAATCATGTCTAACCCAGTACTTTTTGATACATTCAACTTACGTAACTCTTTGAAAACAAATTGTTCAGTGATTGGTAATAACTCGAAGCTGTTTTAACGTACACCTTTTCTTTCGTAAAACTCACAAATACAATCATTGTCTGCTTTGAAAAAGTCTTTGTAAGGGGGGAGTTTGTCTACTAATTTAGCAGCCTCATTTGTGAAATGAGAATTGAATTCATCAGCGATGGCCATCTTATCATGACATAATTCCCCATCGATTGTAATGAAAGATTCTTGTTCTTTTCGCTTCTTATTTTTTAATCCTAAGCTTTTAAGATTCTGCCAAAGCCTTTCGAATCTTGTTTATTTTCTTCTATCTTGTTTTGTAAGCAATCAAGTTTAGCCTTTTTCACCTCTCTTTGGACCATATTTCTTAATACTCTGTATCTTTTATAGAGCGTCTCATCTTTTGCTCTTTTCCTCAATTTTTTGTATACTATATTTCTCTCTTGAATTAGGGAAAGAATATCTTTAGTCACCCAAGTTTCTGATACCGTATTTGTTTTATTCTAATCCGTTTCAGTGGCGCTATCATGTTCAAATTTGAGATAAAAAGATGTTGAAATATTGACCATGTCTCATTTACATCTATACAGTCAGTTATTTCTGACCAATCAACAACAGATAGTTGAAGATTGAAAGTCTCTTCTGTATATTTTTTCATTGATCTGATATCATTGGTCCTGTGATGACCTATAACCAGTCTAATATTTTTCTGTGTACAGAAAGTAAAAGAATGATCGCTAATACCTAGATCAATGACTTTGACTTATTTTGTTTTCTTTGCTACAACCAACACGATCCAGTAGAGAAGAACATGTAGGTGTAACGCGTGTTGCCTCTTTAATGAGTTGACTAAACCCGTGAAGACTCAACAAGTCAATATATTTTTTAGCCAGTGGCGATTTGTGAAGAAGACAAATATTCATGACTCCTAAAAGAATTATTTCGTCATCCTTCTTTAATGTATCAAGAATATTGGACAATTTCTCGATAAACAAATTGTTTTTTGGAGGTCGATGCAGAATGCCAACAACAATTGGTTTTGATCTTGGTATAAGCAAATTTATCCACAGGGATTCCGTATCTCCAGTAAATAGCATCCATAATATTAAATGCAATATCATTTCTAATATAGAAACATATACAACCTCCAGAGCCAGATGATCGATCATGGTGTATGATTTTATATCCGTCTATTTCAATTTCTTCATCATTTATGGAATTGTTTAACCATGTTTCAGTGAAAGCAATAATAGACAGACTTTTTCTTTTAAAAAGAATTCTAAGTTCCGATATCTTGTTTAGGATAGACCTCACATTAAGGTGTAAAAAATGAAGACCTTTAACTATAAACTTTTCTTCAAATTCTTGATAAAGAGAATTTAAGAGAAGTGTTTTCATCTTTGTGGTTTGGCTATCGCTTGCTTTTCAGATGTAACGCGCATTACCTTAAAATAGTTTTCTTTTAGTCGATCCTAATTTTGGCTTTCTTTCTCTAGACAATCGTCAGTAAATAATGAATCAACAATTCCACTTCTCATCAGGGCATTCATAATATTACCTGCGGTACTCTGAAAAACTAATAGCTTGACAATTAGTGTGAAACCATTTTTTACAATCAGAACACAGAAGGCCGTGTTGATTACATTTTACTGGCTTATCACAGTTCCCTCAAGGGAACTTATATTTCCGACCGTCAACTATCATTTTGAAGTTGAAATTTTGATTCGACAAGGTTATCAAAATTCAATGCTTGGAAATATTCGAAGTACTGATTATTATAAATTACAAAACGCTTAAATACAGCCCCGGCATAGCACCTGAAGAGCTCTCCGAACGCTGCTGAGGTGTGTGAGATCACAGTATGGACATGATTTGCACAAGCAGACGATGTCCCATGACATCTCACACATTTCAGTGCCTTTGTTTTCATCTTCGTTTGAGTTCTTTCTCCTACTTCACTACCGTCAGGCTAAATGTATAATCTATTGCCTCACTCTAAACCCTGCACATGGTTTTATTTTGATGACAAATGCAGCGATACAAAAATAAAGGAAACTGTCGCTTGTAAACGAAATAAGACGCCATTGTATATTCAGCTGCACACACCGTTTCAAGAGGGAACAAATGCCGTCCTAAATATCATTACAGGGGTTTTTCAATTTGTAAGTCTGGTTTCTTTGTTTGTTAATTAACCCCTATCCTGTGTATTTACAAGCAAAAGATTTTAGTTATCAGAATCGGGTCATATCCCCTTTTGAATGGTTTGAAATGCTATTACATTTATATACACTAAACTCATTATAATTTGACAAATAATAGCTTAGCAATTATGTTCATCCTTTATGGGATGTCGTCTGCTTGGGCAGTATGGGTCCATATTGTGACGTCATTAAAACATCGTTATTTTTCTGGCAAATCTCTCATATATCCCAGCTGCTATGGAGGTGGTGGTATTTGTATTTTTATAAATCACCCGATATGTAGTTGACCTAAAACTTGTACGATGGCCATCTGTTAGCTTACCAGATTCTAGTGATACATTAGTTGACATATTTGTGATTTTCTTTGAATTTCTACTTTAAGTATGGGTAGTTTTTTAAGTAACTGGCTGTTTACTTCTTCATTATGTACAAGAAAATGATATTGCAGAATCAAATTTCCCCAAATCTGTTTGAGTATTTCCCTCTACCCAACTCTGATACTGATTGTATGATGTAGAAGATAAAAGAGCAAATTTTCATATTATTAAACAACTTAAATGACTTTACTATTAATTTTGGTGGTTTACATGTGTTCGGTGCATGCTGACGTTATTGGAGTTAATATGCCACAGCAATATATAAATAATTTATTCTTCTCATTTGTTTAATATTCCATGTGATGTAACAAAAAAAAACTACAACACAACAGCTTAGAATTAGTTTGATCTTACTTACTGTTCATCACAAAAAAATGTGTACATTTACATAAGAAAGAAAATGAAAAAATGAAAATATGAATGAATGTCTGTCTTCATTAAATAGTCTAGAGCTGTTTTCATGGTGATCAAGTTGGTGTTTTATACAAGGTTCATGATATTTCTGACCACCATAGATGCTACAGCAAATTGCCAAAACAAGCAACGTGACTTAGTTTCTGTACTTGAATCTTAAATGTCATATCTGGGAGGAGTTGAAAAGAAGTGGCAAAGAGACATATATTTGGAATATTGTTGCAAGAATGCTGATATTTAAGTTAATTATTTATGAAAGTAATCAAGTGACTATGGTAAATTTATTTGATTTAGAAAGCTGAAACAAAAACAAACTGTGGTAAAAAACAAAAATTGGGGGGGGGGGGGGGGGATCCTAGCCAATGTCCATACATTTTTGACAAAATGTGTCCTTACATGGAGGCTGCTTCTTGCCTGTTTATAAAGCTTTTGTATAAAAAAGGAGATAGAAAAATACACCTCTAATTATGAAAAACATTACACATAGATTATCTTTACATAGTATCAAAACCATTCTTGAGAGCCCAGTAGAGGTAAATTACAGAGAAATAAAAACTGATATAAAAACTCGTCACAAAATCAAGGGTGTACCAAAACTTTTGACCAGCAATGAATGCCAGAGAAAACAAATACATGCTTCTTTTTTGCCCGAACCAGTAGATAGTTAAGTACGAAGCCATTCAGCTTTCCTGACCTAGCAGCTGACCACAAAACGAAAGTGTTCTGTGTACCGTAAATGGGACTCTGGGAGCCTACAGCGAGAGCCACATTTTCTTCCGACCTGGCAGGTCTTCAACCAGGTCGACCCTTGTTGACATTGAAGCTCGTCCCTTCCTGCTGATATTTGTATATGTTTCTCCATAATGTAGACTTCGCAAGAATGTCGCAATGTAATTGCTCTAGGAGTCTGCAGCAACTTGCTGCAGACTTCTAGAGCAATTTCATCCTGTTACAATGAACACTCTGTGGTCAGCTGCATGGTCAGGCAAGCTAATGATAGATTGCATGATTTTCAAACCTTTTTATACTCAACTATATCTTATATTTTTCCTTTTCATTCCTACTCCCAAGTCACCAAAGCATTACGTCCACTGTCAGCTGCTAGGTCAGGAAAGCTGAATAGCTTTTTACTTAACTGTCCACTTATTTGGGCAGATATCATAATTGAGCATGCTTGCATTTTACTTCTTCTCTGGCCTACACCATTCATTTTGATGCATGAGGTGTCAAAAGCAAAATATTTTATGTGATGTTTTCATTCTTTGTTTCAAAATAATTACATTTCCTACCCTAAAAACTTATTCAAAGTTTCATTTTGTTGTCTTGAACTGAAATTTGGGTAGCACTTCTCTCCATGGTTTCTATTCAATCATGTGTGAATTCTGAATAGCAAGTTGTGCATCAAAGTAAAGAAGAGAAGCAGAGCTTTTCATGCAAGTACATGTATATATTTAAAGAAATTATTCATTATGATGGAAAATTTCTGCCGTTAAATCCAGTTTTGTTTTTCATTCATTCATTTCAGAAAACCAATTACTTGGAAGAAGGAGGTAAAGAATCGAAGGAGAGGAAAGACGTGTTCCTTGTGTGGTGCCCCAAATCTTCAGAGGCTGGATGTACATCTCAACCAAAAGCACAATATGCAGAGAGGGGCAGAAATGCGGAAGGCCACCAAGGCCATGGATAAAAAGAAAGGGCTCAGTAAAGGTTTGTATATTTAATCGAAAATCAATGCAGTTATCAGATCAGATCAGCTCATAGTGTTTGTAGCTCCTACCGAAGTCTGATTATACTGTATTTTAGGATCAGATCACAGTTTTTACTGAAAACATTCATGGTATTTGATTTGATTTGATTTATTGGTTTCTGCATCTTTTTTCTTTTTTCATCATAAACATGAACATAATATGGTTTGATACAATATTAAAGTATCCCACACAACTCAGAATGTATCTTTTACTTTGATTCAGTTGTTTTGAATTGGGCTAGAAAAAGATATAGAATACAGGAACAAAGAAACTGTCCAGGTTCATTTTATTTATAAAATCACCTCACCTCACCTATTTACTTTTGTATACAGACAAGGTTCCAGCAGACAGTGATCTAGGGAAGTTTCCCATAGTTTGTATTGGACATGCCCCAATCTGCTAAATGAATAGTAAACAGGTCTATTCTAAAACTTGATTGCTCTTTATTTCAGCAGAAGGAAGCGATGATATATTCAGCAGGTTTGAGAAGCATCTGAGATGCTTGGGAAAAGTCATCAAAACTGCCAAGGCCAATTCCAGCATCATTAGATACATTGCCAATGAAAAAGGTGGCCTAATAGGGTTTTTCAACGACCATGATGCCATCGCAAAGTAAGTAATTTTTTTCTCATTGTCAAGGAATAAAGAAGATAAGATCAACAACATGGACATCTAAACATGGGTGTTTATTCAGAGAATTGCATGAAAGGAGGCGCGATAGCTCAGTTGGTAGAGCAGTGGGCTCGTAATCCGGTGACCCGGGTTCAAACCAAGTCTATGCGCTAGTGCCATTTGGTAAGGCATTAATCCTCATTACCAGGTCCCTCGGAGAGGACCTAAAGTTGTTCCTCTGGTTGATTTATACTAACAAGCATTTATGCTTTTCTTAGAAGTCAGGTAAAATAACCACTACTACTACTGAACTAAAACTCTACTCCTAAATCCTGCTAAATAAAGTGTTGTTGTTAAAAACAAAGATCCATCTAGTCCAGGTAGATGAGTGATGCCTCTCCCTGGTTCCATTGATACGTACAGGCTTGGTTCAAGTAGAAAATACTCTGTACTTCGGATGGAGGTTTATTGAGTAAAAGTCCCACATTCTATGCACATTTACCGGTTGGATACAAATCGACATAAAATTAAGAACCTGCATTTTGCACCAAGAGGGGGCTAGCCTCACACACTATCTCAGGTGTTACCATGCAGGGTTTTAGACTACTGGGTCTTTGGGTATTAAAACAATCAATTTCAATTTATTGTCCAATATTGGAAAAAAAAAATTTCAATTTATTGTCCAATATTGGAAAATTTTGTTTAGCTCACATTTTACTAACGTACAAAGAATTAAAATAAGTTTACATACATAATATATATCATATCCTTTGACATAGTAATCCTTCAGAATATTGCTATACAGAAGTTTTGCTTACGTTATGATAAACAAAAAAAGTGAACTATGGATGGATGGGCTTTTCCAAGTATCCCTTGGAGCTAAACCATGAAATGGGTATAATCTATCACTGCAGTCAATACAAATTTGAGACCTATTTACAATTAAGTATCAACATAGAAGAAAAAAATAGCCAATCTGGAGGACCCGCAAATGTCCTACCTTTATCTTATTTTTTCTCTCCAAAATCCTACTTTTCTTTTACTTTTCCCAAAAATGTTATCCTACATTCCTCCTACTTTCTTCCTTGGGTGTGCTTGAAAGCCTTCATAGTACACCTGTACATTACAATCAGTCAGATGGCACTTCATAGACATAACAATTGTCAAGGGCTTCCAATGTAGTTCGCTAATACCCTGTTAATCTGCAACTTTTAATTTTTGGCAATAAAGAACCAACATACATGTAGATGAACCTTCTTCAGGTAATCTAAAACTTTTGACACTTCTGTAAAGTTTTGAAAAGCTGCAGAATTTATATCTTGACAATGTCACTGCTTGTCCATTCATTTAATTTACTATTACATTAATTGTTGACCATGTTTTACTTCAACTGCAATGATTTCTTTCGTATGTACTATGTAGCTTCATCATTGAGCTGAAAAAGAAATACCAGCCCAAAACAACTCGGGCGAAGATTCATGGCATCGCAGAGTTCTCGGAATGGTTGCTAGATGATAGACTAAGTCTAAAAGAGGTCGGTGTAAAGAAGTCCCACATAAAAAGGACTTTGCGCCTGGCCAAAAAGTATGGTGCGGCCATGGGCCCGGACATAATGGCACACGAGGCCGAGAACAGGGATAAGATTGAAGGTAATACTTTTTTCTTTTGTTTTTAAATTCTATTCTTTTTGAAGAATTATATTTCTTTCTCTATTTGTACATCTTGGAAGAGGATATTTTGAATGATTATTCTTTAACTTTATTGCTATTTCAGAGGTTTTTCTTTATTTGGGGGGGGGGGGGGGTTGAAGGTCCCCCATCATATCTTTGCTCTACAATGTCTAATTTTTATCACATTTGGTGTGCACTTAGTTCATGATAAAACGTACAAGAATGCATCGTTAAATCTAGTTAGATTAAACAAAATTACTGTAACATTAATTAACCATTAATTAATCATGCACATATGGTGATTATTATGGGTTGAGGGGGGGGGGGGTCAATGTGCACCTACAATGGTCTCCCACTCGGGAATATGTGAAACAAAGTTGTTTAGTATAAATGACTAAATTACAAAATGAATTGATGCCAATTATATGCACAGATTACCAGGTAAATTATTTTTCTCATGTATTTCTTTATTTCTATTGCATTTATGTTAACTATTGTTATATTCCTTTTCCTTTTGTTTTCTCTTTTTTTTAAATTTAATACACTAATAAAATGTTTTTACCATGTATCTAGTTGGTTTTACTAAAAGTAGAAAAATGAGAGAATAATAGTGAAAGTTTTGAGCAATATCTGATTACATATAAAAAAACATATATTAAAAAAAAATTGTAATCAATCAAATGAAAATTTGGAAACCCCTTGACGCATCTTGCAAGATTTTTTGTTATCGTATCAGATTTTTTGTATGGTGAAATATTTTCTTTTGAAGAAAATGAAAATAGGAATTCATGATTTTTTAGTACTGGGAAAAAAGGAGAGGACCACACAAATTATGTAAATTTTTGTTGAATGCTTGAAAATTTTAAAAATTCATGAATTTCTTATTTCTTATCAGATTTTGCTCAAACGTTCATTGATCTGTTTCTTTAAATTTTTACAGCTCTTTAAACCAACTTGATATGAGTGTAGACTTCCCCTTTAAAGATAAAGTTGAGTTTTGTTCATGCAAATATATTTTGAAAGAAACTGTCTCAGAGCAATTGAGAAGAGTTGATAATGATGACTGATCACTCTCGCTATAAAGCACATGCACTGCACTCAGAAATGGGTACACAAATGTGGTATGAATTTTCGGCACAAGCACTTTCTCGTCATATATCAATTATGAGGGCGTTCGAAGAGTATATCCTTTTCAGGGACACTTCTACTATGATGTTGTTATAAACTGAAATAAAAGGAATGTGAAAGCTCACAAATTATTATTCACCTTTCCCAGAACTCAACCTTCTCTTTAGTTCCATACTTATTGGACTTGGCAGTTAGGTCAAGAGGGGGTGAGAGAACTCTGTAGTTAACAGGTCTAATAAGAGACTTTGCTTCCTAAATTAAAAACAAAAAAATGGTAGAACATTTTTTCAGAAGGGGGGGGGTGGGTGAACTGATCTGACTCAATTAAATATTTTGAATAATAAAGCTCAATTTCAATGAGCCTTTAATCAATTATTATTTTAATTGTTTCTTAATAGATATCTGTCTGAATCAGCCAGAGATCCAAGAAGTGGATGCTGCCTTGAGGAAGCCAGGATTGGAAATTGCAGGTATTGCTTAATACATGTAGCATATTTGGGGCATTGCACCTGTACTTGTCACCAAGTGTACATATGAAAAAGAAATAATAAAAGAGTGTAAATCTCATTTAATTCTTACCCATGTAATTTCACTCTTCAGATACATTTCAACATTCAATATGAATCCAATTTTTGCAGTGGTCAAAAAGATCAGCAGTGTTTAATGTATAAGAGGTTGTCATTGTGTTATGGTTCAGTGAGCACACTCAAACAATCGTGCAAGAAATGCTGAAATGTTAATACAGCATTAAAATTACCCTTGCCACTTTTGAAAAGTGACAATTTACCTTAATTGTTTGCACACTCATGCATGACTCGATGGCTCAATCTCATTTTCACACGAAAATTAGTCAATAAGTGTAAGAACACTCCTGATAAGTTATTTTGCTCAAAACCTTTTTGTGAAAAAGTTACGCCATTTTGATTTAGGGTGGGGGGGGGTACTTTTTTGGTTGTGTTTACTAGCATACTGGGTTTTAAAAAAAACTTTTGATCATTATTAACTAAAAAATTAAATCTCGCATCAGACTGAGGCTTCTACATTATAAAGTTGAAGGATGTAAAATCTATTGGGAGCAAGTCTTGTGACATTTCTCTGATTACTTCTCTTTAAATATTGCTCTGAATATTTAATTAACATTTTCACTTTTTGAAAAACCCAAAACACAAAATGTGTGTGTATCAGTAATTATTTCAAAATACAACAATTGCCATTGTGTGTTGCTGCTGTCATTTCTGCCAACCTTTCGCTGTCCAGTGTCATTAATGATTCAAGACTATGAGTTAAAAAGGTATTCTGTAAAGACAACTACAACACGCAATGGCAATTGTTGTATTATGATTTTATTTTTTTTAAACACTTAGTACTATTTTGTTTAGTGTGTGATGTGTGTTCACTAGTCCCCTTAAAATTGATGCTATTATTGTACTGTGTAGTACTGGGTTCCACTTTAATATTTTGAATCATCCATGGTTTTCATTCCTTACAGATATGATGGCTCAAATTCACAAAGGAGGTTTGTCGACAAATTAGGTTTATGTGCGTTGTAACACGTCATATGACGCACATAACCCTAGGTTTGTCGACAAACCTCCTTTGTGAATTCGGGCCATTGTGATCATAATGTACAAATTATGATTGAAAGAAAATCATGACGAGGAAATTAAGCCTGCATTACGACAGGCTGAGACTGTGTAAGCCATAATCTACAGTTTATGTGAGACAGTTAATTGCAGAATGTAGAATGTACATATATTGCTAATGAAACAAGACTCTTTGAAATCATTTCCCTGATAACAGATACATTGATTTTAGAAAAAAAGAATTAGTATTTTACATTGCGTTTTCTTAATATCAAGCTTTTTTTTCATTCACCAATTAAAGGCAAACTGCAGGAAGGGGAAGCAGTCCTGCCCAAAGATGTCCTCCTCTTTAGGGACTTCCTAATCGTTCGGATTTTATTTCGAAATCCTCACAGACCAGGGGTAATATCCAACATCACGTTGAGAGACTTCCAAAAGGGAAGTGATATGGCTGATGAAACCTCCCTTCACGTCGTGAAGGTTGGTAAAAAGAGTGTTACTAACTGTTGCATTTAAATGCACCTTAAATTGTTTTCAAGTGCAATTACCATACGGTCAAGACAATTCATAATCACATTTACAAATGCTGGAATTGATAGTTTTTGCATAACTAATAAGCAATAATGAGAAACTGAATAAAATAACCATATAGACGAATACAAAAAAGTATGCTCCCTTGATTAGTTACTGACAAACAGGCCAAATGATATTCTGTGGTATTTCTTCCTACAAAGGTTTGCCTAATTTTTCACATTTCACCAGACAATGGCACAAGGCTTAAAGATACTATGTCCCTTTTGCATCGACATCAAATTCTGTAAAACTTTGCAGGAATTATGAATATGTCATGTATGTCCTGTCTGTGAAGTTTAAACATTTGCAGATTATTCAAATTATGCAAGGAAACCCATGTACCTTCTAGATTTCACTGTCGGAAATTATTTTATTGAGCTGTAACAGGTACATGAGCATTCGTCTACATCAATAACTCACTACTTGTAATGGCCAAAATTAAACTGATTGAATCTTTTTGCAGCACAAAACATACGACCATTCAGTATTCAGAAAATGTCTTGCCAAAAGGGTCTGAAAATCAGACTTTTACTTAGGTGATTGTAATCGTTTAAGTCGATTTGACATCTAATCGTCGTTATTTTCCCACTGAAAGCCACTTTCAAGCCCTTTCGTTTTGAAAGATGTTCTAAATTAGTATTGTCTTCCAAATGCCGTTGGAATTTATCCTTTATATTTTTGGGGCCTGCAAATGGGACATACCGGTAGTACCTTTAAAATATGAATTCAGTCAACCTGTCACCCCTAAAAAAACTGCCTCAATCTTTCAAAACTTTCTTATGTACATGTATATCCAATGTGAAAAAATTATATTCTGTTGCAGGTCAGAGTACACAAGACCCACAGGAAGTATGGGGCTGCCAACATCATCATAGATGAAGCTCTATGGAGGTGGCTCTCCATATACAAGGAGAAGGGACGGCCCCTGACACCCAACTACTCAGAAGCAATGGAGAGAGATGACAGCCCTTTCTTTCTCAGTGCAGTAAGCACACAAATGACGAAGGTTGGGCAATCCTTGAAACGTCGTGGGGAGGCTCTGGGCATCACGGACCCAACCAAGATGCTGCCGACCAACATCAGGAAGACGGTGGTAACGATGGTAAGACTTAACAAGCTGCATTTGTGATAAATACATGTAATCAGATCTGATTAAATCACATTCATTATGTAAATTTTAAAAGAAAATTTTAAAAATTTGAAACAAAACTTGTTTGGCTAATTGCCTTGTAGAAAGGAGGAGAAGAAGTGTATTAATTCACGTAGCACATGATAATTAATGAAAAGTGTTGTATGCACTTATAGTTTGATCATGTGTAGGCTCCAGTAATTTCTAGCAGTATTGTATATACCGGTATGGGCAATTCCACGGTAACGGAATTACATTTCAGAGAAATTTGGGCTCTATTTGTATATACTGTAGACAGGTGGTTAGACCTAGCTGATTATTTACAAACTATTGTATTATGCACCTGTAAGCAAATCAACATATAAAAAATTATTTTTCTACATTCAGAACACCCCAAACCAAAAGTGTGTCAGTAACGGAATTACGGCAGAAAAATTGGATAATTTTTTCAATAACTTTGAAAAGAATTCATCTGAAATCTGCAACCGATTTTGGGTGAAGTAATGCTAATAAAGGTTGCTTGTATTGTTGACTGTCCTACAGCAAGATTTTTGGGGGGCGAAGTTGTCATGGTTTTTCTGTGCTGGATGGTTTTTTGAACAAAGGTAGCGGTAACGAAAATTACAAAAATGGTAACAAAATTACGTCTTCTGAAATAGGCTTGAAAAAAATTCAATTCGTGAAAATTATGTAGGCTTAAATTGATGTTTTAATGTTTCAGGGGTTGCACTAATAAGCCGGTTTCGGCGATTACGTAATGCACGGTTACTGTAACTAGGTCCGTCAAGCGTTGCCAGGCCGCCGTATTGAATCTGTGCATTTTGTATTAGACTGCCGGTCTTTGCCGTTAAATTTCATTCATATCTTTCTATCAAAACTGCGTTTATATACATGAATTTCCGTTTTGGCCGGAAATGACTTCCAACTTGCCATTCAACAAGCTGAGTTTCAGGCAGCTGCAATATTTTCTTAGAAAAAGAGGAGTTTCGACCACGGTATACTCTCGAGAAAAGACTCGTTAAATTAGCGTCCGCAGAAGCGAACTAGCCTGCCCGTAGCCCCTGACCTACGGGGCCCGTGTCACTCGGTAGGCGTGACCGTGTGTGGGGAAATAAAAACGGGCATGATTTTCGTTTAGTGAACTAGTTACATACCCCCCTTTAATAAGTTTGACGATATTCCTGACTTTGGGACCTATGACGTATTAAATTATCTAGTAGAGAATATGGCGGACTATGTGGTACCCACGTTCTTCTGCAATCAGAGGTGACTGTGTGTGCGAACGGGTGGAAAATAGTTCATCACTTCTTTCATTTCTACGTCCAAATTTGTACTCACTTTCAAGCTAAGTTAAATGCAAAATTGAATGGAAATTACAGATATCGGCTAACTGATATTCTAGTTCTTCGCCTTCTGTTTCATCATGCTTTCAAGCCGACATCGCATGTATCATCGACCTCTGTTTTTCTTCTTTTTGAGGGGGTATCATGCGCTGCCTGTACCGGGGATTTGCCTGAACAGGTTTGGCTGCAAGATGCGAATCGCTATTGCACGTTCCGTTAAACAGCAATGCTTTTCCGTTATTCTTGCCTAAAACTCAGCAAATTTTAAAGATCTAATGTATGAAGAACAAAATCACATCTCAAAGATATGTATTATTCAAGTTAGAAACTGCCTACTTTCTCTTCTCTCTCTCTCAAAATAGCGAAAGCAAACGATAAATCACAACTTGAACATATAGAGTGAACACATGTATTGTATGCACACCGTGTAGGCTGCTATGCACCGCGAGTACTTTGTTTGACCGACCCTCCGATTACGTAATGCGATTTAAAGGTCTGTGAATACATTACGAAACTGGCCCATTGCTTTTAACTACAAAGCAGTTCATGTGTGTACTTAATTATAAAAAAACTTTTGGAAAACACCTCTTTTATATTGTTAAATGGCAAGTAAATATGACATTTCTGAGAAAATATTGGTGTGTGGTGATCCAATTTAAGTCAATATGTGTTAATATAGTCACTAGTTTACAACTAAATTAAATTGGTTTAGTTTGCAAGTAGGAAGATCACACAAATTATGACAAACTACATATGTTATTGCCGGTATTGGAATTATGCATATGGCACAGTTTTTTTAAAACTATGACCAAATAGCTAAATGGCCCTTTGAGAGCCTGACACTTTACAAAGATAAAGAATTAGAAATCAGTTACAACTTTTTCTTGTAGCATGGACCTAGATTGACCTCCCATAGCTTTATGAAAAATGTTCAACGTTGCTTTGTGTGCATGAGGTATCCCCGAACAGGAAATTGTTTACCGAATTTCGTAACAAAATTGACATACCTTTTTGATTGAAGCCGGAAAAAAAATATAGCCACAAAAAATATGTTTTTTTTTTTCTATTGATGGTTAATGAGCGTGGGTGGATCTTAAAGAAATTTAACAGTAATCTGAATTAACGCGTGTATTTTGATGGAACAGTGCAATTGAAAATGGTGTTTCGGACGTTACATTTTCCGTAAACAATGTAGATCCTCATTTAACCCACTAGAACAATAAATTAATGAGATTGTATATGGTTTGAATAAGCTTATTAGTTACTCCAAGTCATTAAATTAAAGGAAAATATTATTTAATTATAGTAGGGCTTATATTAGAAATATGCTCAAAATTTGAAAAAGTTGTCTCATTTGCTGTAAACAATCAATTTGAAGTAGCAGAAAATATATGAACTGCAGGACCTATCTATCGTAACATTTTTTAAACAAAGAAAAGAAATTTGCAATACATTACTACAATACTATTTTATAGTTAAAACCAATTTTCCGTTAACAGTTGTAACGTCGGAAAAACAAAAAGTACCAATGAAATGAATATAATCCATATTTAAGGGTATCTGGAGTGAAAAAATCATTATGAAATAAGTTATAAGTCTTAACACGAGTCAAAACACATATCAGGTCTTTCATAACCAATAATTTTGTGTAAGCTCAAGAAGGGTGTTTCGGACGTTACACTAGTTCTTTAACTAGTTCAAATGAAGGGCAAAGATAGATGTGAGAATAGCAAATTTCAATTTTTCAACCTCTCCTCTTGCTATTTACATTGCTGTGTGTTTGCAAATCATCAGGTTTTCATTTTTATAGAGGTTGTTCAAATGATGTCATATAACCAAAGATTGTATGGTCAATGCAAACTATTTGGTAGGTTACAAAAGCTCAAAATCACCCACTTAAGCAATACCCAGTCAGTGTACATGTACATGACATGGGTATGATACAGGTATATAAAGTTGACAAAATCAAGCAAATTAAAATGTTTTTCTAAAAATTTATGGGAAATATGGATTTTCATCTGAAATTTTTTTTTAAAAAGGGCACTAAGTACAGGTAACTAATCTGTGTACAAAGGATTACTACTGCCATTATCCAATACTGAAAAAACATTAATACTTTATTTAATGATCCTAAACATACAGGTCCGTATTCTGAAGTCGTGTCTAACTTAGTCATGTCTAAAGTTAAACAACTGTTTAGTTAAACACGAGGTCGTGTCTAAGTCCTGTCTAACTAAATTTTGTATTCTGAAGTCGTGTCTAAGTCTCGTCTAACTAAACAACTGTTTAAGTCCTGTCTAAGTCGTGTTTAACAAAACAACTGTTTAAGTTCTGCACAAGTCGTGTTTAACTTTTAGTCACGACTTCTGCGCATGCCCAGTAGGCGTTAATTCTGACGAAAGACCCAATGCGCATGCGTGCGTGCACCGGATAAATAAATTAACGCGCACAGCTAGCTGGTACCATGGTGATGTGATCGTGACGTAATGACTAGACTGCATGTACTCTGTGTTCGTACATGCACGCACATGTACTGTACACTGGATTGGCAAACACACTACTTATCAGTGCCTCAGTGCTCGGAAGAACCAGAAAAGAAACTTCTCCAACAGAATGGTTAGCTTATTATAGATTATGGAATTTCCAAGATGTCACCAGTAGATAGGAATAGTTAATATTATTGAGAGAAAAAATTAGGCTACACAAGAAAAAATCCTGCAAAACGTATTCGAAATTTGAGAGGATGCACGTACCATCGTTCTCCCCCGCAAGTTCAGGGTCAGCAAGTAGAGTGTACCTTCGACGTTGAAAAGCAGCATAATCGCGCCCTTAAACAACCCCTCGCAGTTGTCTAAAGTTAAACAGGACTTAGACAGGTCTTTGTGTTTAACTTTATTTAAACACGACTTCAGAATACGAAAAAGGTTAGACACGACTTCGTGTCTAAAGTTAGACTGGACTTAGACAGGACTTAGACAACTGTTTAGTTGAACAAAGGAGTTAGACACGACTTCAGAATCGGGCCACAGTCTTCCTCAAACTTATGCATACATATACATGTAAGCTAGTGTGAAATATAAATGGGCTTTAATACTGCTTGTCTCTTTTCTCTTGCCTATTCATTAACCATCGTTTATCGTTAAACAGAGAAATTGAAGGATCCTGTACAAAATTATATTCTATGAATCTATAATGTTTCACAGATAACTAGAATACTTGATTTATGCTCCAAACATCTAACTGGTCTCCACATACCTGTTCGAGCAATGTGCAATCTAAGATGCATGTTTAACCTATACTGTTTGTCACCTGTGATATTGGCACAGCAAGAGTTAAGATCAATCAACCAACCAACCAATCAATCCATCCACCCATCCATCCATCAATCCATCAATCGGCCATCAAGTAAATAAATAAATACTTATTGAAAAGCATTTAAAAGTGTTGTCTTTTGAAACAGCCTCCTAATACACATAGTGGAAAGGGATGATTGTTACTAGTATTAAAATCTAAAACATGCACAATTTTAAAATACATGTAAAACGTCTCATTCTCGGGAAGTACAAAGGATAAGAGTTCTCTTATTTTGTATTATTTTAATGGCTGGGGATACTTCTCTATAGTTTTATTTAAGAAAAAAGATTTTTCAATGTTTTGCTTACATTCATGTACATGTATGTGTTAGTGATATTATTGAATGACACACTATATAGTTTAAGGCAAAGTGTAACATTGTGTAACATCCAAAACAAACTATAGCATACATTATAACAGTGCAAAAGAGAGTATTTCTGTAAGTAAATTTTCTAAGGAGTTTTGATGAATACAATTGCTATTAGCTTCATATTTCGCTCTGTTAGATCACATAAGCATTTATAACTACACGTTCTTTAAATGAACAGTATACCTTACATAAATTGGGTAGTCGAATAAGACAAACTAGGTATATGTGTTAAACTAATTAAAACTGCACATTTTTTTTCTCCATAAATGTTAAAGAAGTATTTTTCTGCAAACTTAGGTCAACAAAACCAAAAGAAAGCAACTAACTTGAATACAGTTATGATGTTAACAGTGTATAACGTCCGAAACACCAGTGGTGTGACATATGAAACTTATTAGGCAATGCACTGGTTCCCAATTTTGTTTGTATGTATTTATCTTATATCATCAGTTCTTATAATAAAATAAGTTTGACCGAAGAAGAAAAAAAAAGCACTTTACCTAATGAAATAAAAACTTGTTATTGTCAAAACCATAATTTAGAGCTATTTTTCACTTTCAAGGGATACAAAATCTGTATTTTTCAAGATAGAAACTCAAAAATTTCCATGAATAATCTCTGAAACATATTCTTAAAGGCCAACATATTTGTTGGTGTAGTTAATAGCAAATGAGTTTATATCACAGTTATTAGATATGCCATAGTTCACAATAAAATTGTAAGAACTCAAAGTATTCATATCTGGTGAATAAATAGGGAGATAGATTTAAGCTCCAAAATTTGCATTTCTAAAAAATAGGAATAGTCCTGAACCTAAAAATATATGTTTAAAGTAAGTCAATATAATTTCATTTTTTACCCTTTTGGGGACACATTTGGTATATGTTTAAAAAAAAACAGTGCCATATTATACAGCTCTCATTTGTGGCCATCAATGACAAATTGGTTGTGAAGTCGCCAAGGCCAATTTATAGAAACAGGTCAATAAACTCCACAGTATTCAATAGGAAACAGAGGATATTCAATTGTTTTTATTTACTATTTTGAGTGCCTATTAGTATTAACCAAGCAAATACCACATGCAATGTATTATTTTAAAGCTTATTTTAATCAGGATTTATCAAAATCAATTGAAAATGGCAACTTTACAACTGTTTGTCGTGGACGGTGACATTTAGGCATTCCAACATTTTCAAAATATTTCAAAAACACTTAAGTACTACTAATAACACTGCCAACATGTACACCCAATGCAGGGATCTTGGTGTAATTAATTTATTTACAATGATTTTATTCCATAAATTCAAACACCAAAATCTAAACTTATTATAAACAGAGAGCTTTATAAAGCAATCATTTTGTCAACAGCGTTGCAATAATATTTCACACCAGAATTTGTAAATCATTCCCCCATCTCATATTTCTGTCAAGCCATTTTTTCAACCTGCTGAGCCAATTTTGCGACATAGGGTCTTAGAGGGAGCAATGATGTCATTCTTTTTAATCTAATTACAAAGCTCGTCAGATAATTACCTACTACAATTTCACTCCACAAAACCTAGCACCGGATTCAAAACTAATTAATTAAGATCATGTCATCAACAGAGGTGCAATAAAATGTCTGAAAAAATGTAAATCATTACGCCAATTCACTAAATTGTTATCATTCTTTAATAGGGAACACTGGTTATCATTCTTTTTGAATTTGTTAAAACACATTATAATCTTGAACGTTGTCATCATTCTTCATTCCAAACATTTGAAGCTTTAAGAAGGGCAAGAGGGCTAGTCCGCTATAGTCGAAGCCATCTAACTTCTAATGAAATATATGTTTTTTGATAGATTAGATCTTCCCCTTCAACCTCCACCTTGATGTTTGTTAATTTGGGTGCCGCAATATAAAAGTCATAAGTAACAATTTAGCTTAGCTTTTGTAGAATTTTTGTAATCTCTGAATTCGAAATTATTATCATTATTTTGTTTTTAAATCTCTTTGTTAAATAGGCTGTATGGCACAGTTGACAGGTGGTATATTAATGTCATTGATCATCTTTCAATTGTTCCTCTTCGTTTTATTGTTAGGCCCACGAGGACATGTCACCGAAGAAAAGAGAGAGGCTGGCGAACTTTATGTTACACAGCGTCACGGTCCAGGAAGGCTATTATAAGGCGAGGACAAAATCAGCCAAAAACATTGCCGCATCTTTTGATGTGGCAAAACTCGTGCCCCTGGTAAGACCAGATTGAGTAGTGCCTTCACAACTTATTCTTATCTTTGCAAAACACAAGAGTGATATTCACTTGCTTTAATGTAATACTTCTCCAAGTAAGAGCATTTCTATAAAGGTTGCAAGTATACATAACATTTATTATTACCGATATGCTCAATATTTGCAATATTCCTGGTATTATTATGAGAATGTGACAAACATATTTTACTTGATTGTGTGTCTATATTTAGTTCTTATGTTTGAAATCTTCAAATAACAATTGCTGATCCAGAACACATATACACAAGGAAAGGAGTCCATTATAAGTAACCACACAATTTTCTTGGTAAAGTAATCTGTAAATCCCTAACCAAGTTGCTTCCGTTAAACTTGATTTGTCAAAAAGAAATTGTAACTGTAGTGCAATATTTACTTCCCTTGCAAGAGTAAATACATCGCTCCCCTGTAATATTGTACACATGTATTAAAGTCAGATCAAGAAAAGTAAATTTCCATGTTTTCCTATTCCCCCAAATAGGAGGAAGGTCATGAACATCCCACAACAAGCAACGTAAGTTTCTTGTCTGTGCATTGACATTTTATTAGAATGTGACACTTAGACCTTTAAATAATTAACCTCAACTTCATCTTTATACATCTTTCTAATATTTTGTCTGTGTAATGTGCATTTCATCGACATGTAATTTCTCTTAGTTGCTATTAATTTGTTTTTATTTTTGGTACATATACAGTGGAAACTCACTGTTAACAAGGACATTGGAACCGTTGAAAATAACTATGTTATATCTTTAATCTCCTAAAATCAGGGTAAAAAACTAAAGAACATAAAAGTCCTGAGACCAGCAAAATTACCTTGTTACATGAACCGGTATATCAGGAACATCAGGGTATTGGATCTCTTTATAGCGAGTTTCCACTGTATGATCTCTTTGTTTTTTTTGTTTTCTCACATTTAACTATTAAGGTTACATTTCACAATACAGTGCGTCCCAGAAAAAACGAAAGCGAGAATTATTGATGTTTTATCATAACTTAATCACAATTATAATTGATAAATGACATATATTTGTAAAGCTTAGATCCTTCTCTTTCATTTGATGCAACTCATATAATGCATATTTCATGCATGAGCGATTAAAATGAATTTGAAGAGAGGAAACCAAAAAGTCAATTGGCGGACGGTATCTGAATTTCAAAGAGAAAATTGCATTTCTAGAAAGATGAGTTGCTTGCTATTGTATCTCTCTTATATATACATGTATATATATATATATATATATATATATATATCCTAAAGAAAATCTCATATAGGAGAAGATTGACATTAAATTTTTCTGTAAAGCTTTCATGTTGTTTCAAATAGCATCTTCTCAGGCCAATGTTTTGATTTATAGAGGAAATGAAAGGTATCTTTAGAAAATGGTTGCTGAATGGCAACTTATTGGTCGACATTACTTATGGTGGTGATTAACCCAAACTACATTTGATCAACTATTTATGAATACAATTTCTTTCATATCAACTAAAACAGTGCTATGCAAAACAATTTGACATTATGTTTGTATATTTTAAACAGATAAATGTTAGTTTATATGATGCAAAGGTTTTATAAATGTTCCACTGAGCCAAGCCATGCAATTGATCACATACATGGTGTAATTCAGATCCAGAAAAGATAATTTTCATGTTTTTCTACTTCCACCAAATAGGACGTTTCTGCATCAAGAAGCGACGTAATTGTGGTAAGTTTCTTGCCAGTGTATTGACATTTAAATACCCCTCATAAAAGTTCTCCTAGTCAGGTTTGAGCATCATTTTCAATTACTGCCATAATTGACTTATCATTACAAAGGCAATTCCCCCCCCCCCCCACCCTGCAATGATGCCTATTTAAAATGTAGTTTTTTTCATGGAATAATAATAATAATAATAATAATAATACAAATAATATTGGGTATTTATATAGCGCACATATCCACCATTCAAGGTGCTCAAGGCGCTCCAATCTTATTCTGGCTCTGCTAGCTAGGCTGCCAATTTCAGCGTTTACAGCATTCAAGGAATTCCTTCCTACTGGTACCCATTTAACACCTGGATGGAGAGTGGCAAATGTAGATTAATGTCTTGCCAAAGGACATTAGTGTCGCGGCGGGACTAAGACTCGAACAGCAGACCCTGTGATCCACAGTCCGACAAGTTATCCAATACACCACAACAACTCTACAGCGAAGCTAAATATGGGTCTAAGTCCAAAAGCAAAATGTTTCAAACGGCACTGTTATTTTCAACAGTGAATTCTCTTTTACTTTTGAGGATGGATTGTGTTTTTAATGACGTTCAGGCAGTTAATGCCAATAGTGTCCCATTCTCATTAAGATAGCTGTTTTGAATGATGTGAAAATGGCCATCAAGATTTATTCTTTAACCGTATTTAGCCTGGGATATTTTGAAACTGCATAGCCCAGGGGGGGGGGGGGGGCTTCTAAGGCCCCCCCCCCCTATGATCTCGGCCGTGAAACGCCCGATCGCCGCGAAAATTTGCATACATGTTAGGTGAAGTGTATAGAATACTATGGTAATTTCAATTTTTTGAAAAATTCACTCATTTGCATATTTATGGTAATTTATGCAAATAAGGTCATACAATTCACATTTTTGCCCATAAATCAGACATTATTCATATTTAAGCATTCTTTCTCACTACATATAATTGTTAGACCATTTGGAATAATAATACAACACAAAAAATTGAAAAACCAGGGTTATTCCTTATGTTATCTATTGTTTTGATAATTTCTTATGTATTTCTTTGTTTTTTTAACTTATGTATTTTAATGTTTTTGTTGTTTTATTTCATTTCCAACTATAATTCAACTATTTTGACCCCAAAATAAAACCTAAACTATAAACAAGACCAAATAACCAATCTTTTATCTCTTTATTTGAAAAATGAGATTTCCATATGTTTTGTACACAAATCACAAAAATGAGCAATTTTCGGGCTGACATGCAAAGACAAAAGGACACGTTGTTGTTGTTGTGTTTTGGTTTATTGGCGATTAGTCAGTAATTTGACTATTGTCACCAAAATACTTTACGGCACGTGTTATATCTCTCATTTTTGTGCCAGAGTTCCCAGATCAACTACTTTTTACAGTGACTTTGTAATGGTAGGTCCGATTTTCGAAAAATTTCTTTCAAAAGATACGCAAGGCTCGAAAGCAAAAAGTCACAAAATTTCAGTGCAAGATTTTCTTGTGTTAAAAAATTATCGCGAAAAATGTCGAGGGGGGACTTCTAAAGCCCCCCCCCCCCCCCCGGGCTAAATAGGGTTAAGGGCAATCTTGTTTTCAATTTTTGTTTGTAAGATGAAATGTGATGGAAATCAGCTGATTAAGACATTGTCATTGTGTTTGAATATCGTACATTTATTGCAAGTCTGTCATTTGTTGACAATAATCCTGTTAAAAGTAGTTGATCTGGGAACTCTGGCACCTTTGAACCGTTTACAGAACCAAATTTCTAGTAACGTTTGATTTTTTTCATGGTAGTGATTGGCATTGAATTGATTTTATGGTAATTTTGTTTTTCTGTTGGACAAAATGCTCACCCTTAATTAACTGATCACACTCAAATAAGAAGCGAAATATAATGTTATGAATTAAACGCAATTATACCAATTTCATGTTTTCCCTTTTCACTTACAGCCTTCTGTTATACAAAGTCTGCAACCAAGCATTGGCGAGGCAGATGTGGTAAGCTTAAAAGAATTATTTTGATATGTTTTTGAATGAGAAAAAAAAATCCCTATTTTTCCCTGAGAGGACACCCTACAATTAATTCACAGAAGAAAATATCGTTTCCATGACAATGTAGTTCCCTTAGCACTGTCCTAAAAGTTGTGTATCTTTTGATTTTTATATTATTTGAGCATGAGAAATTATTGAAATTTGCAGTTAGTCAAGAAAAAAATATTAATTTTCCTCTCAAGGCAAATGTGAATTTGTTTCCTTATTGTTTTATGGCCTGTAGCCTACATTTTACATGTGGCAGATTTTTATTTCACAAATGACACTCACTGTTTCACTATTCAAGGATATTCTTGCTTATCTGAGCCATTAATCCAGACACTCAAATACAAACATGGTAAATCGTTGAATCTACACAAAGCAGTAAGTTCAACAAGAAAAATGCCTTTACTGTCAAGTTCTTGAAATATGTCAGTTTTCTCTGTTTTTGACAATTTATCCCCCTTCCTCTTGCCAGGCCATTAAGGGTTATGGTTACTAGTTGGTTTTAGACATTCATATTCACACTCACCTTATTTATTTGTCATTATTATAGGGCCACATGTCGGATTTTGAAGATGTACAGTCACAGGAAAAAAAGGTAGGAATCCATTCATGTGTATTAAAGGTAAAGACCAGTTATGGTCATGCGATTGAATTGTGAAAGAAACGTTGTGGAATCGATCAGAAAAGGTTGATCATCTAGCATCTAGCATCTGCAAGGTTCTGGAATCATCAAAATGATAAGAAATTTGGCCCATTCTTCGTAAAGTTACAAGCACTATACACAGAAAGATGGATATGGGACTACCATGAGAGAAACAAATTTACCAAATATATGAATTAGTAGGCGGTTTCCCGGCAAATTTTTTATCATCATGTATTAGTCAAAACATATTCTTTCACATGATTGGTAATGAGAGCTTCCATTTCATTTTTGAAATTGGGGCGTTACCAATACTGGTATTTACCTTTAAGGAGAGCATGGTTATTCTGACGGTTGAGTTAGGGTATTAATCCATAGGAATGATGCCATAACACTTGGAATGTGAAGGAAAAGATGGAATAGGGGTTACGTGAAGCAGTTCCGGAACACTTAAATGAAATACAAGTTTGTTTGTTTTTTTAATAATTACCAAAAAAAGAAATTTATGGTCATTTTTTTGAAAACTCATTAATTTAAACTTATAGAAGAAATCCTAAGCTATAGATTATTTCAAAGAAATTTCTTGAAAATGTATTCCAATATTTAATTGGGCAGACTTTTTGCAACTTATGTTTTTAAGGGGGACTCTGTATCAATTTTTTTGGGGGAGGTTATATTTCTTGCAGGATGAACTTATGATATCAAGAAAATTATGAAATTATCACCAATTTGATATAATTGAGCATAAAAAAGTCACATGTTAGTAAATCACAATTGGGTGTTATTATAATGGATTTTTAATAGTTTAGATTTAAAATGTACCCAAACTTGTACAAAATTTGACAGTGCTTATAGACCAGCGTGTGGAACAGAAAACTTTTAACTGGTACTATACATCCTTAACTGCCCAATAAACTTTCTGCCCTGCTTTGTCAGAAGGAAGCAAATGACATATCAAACAAATTCGAGTTATTGTTATTTTCATGTCATACCTTGTGTGCTCTTCTTCCGGGCAAAATTGTATGCATGTACACTCATCCTGCGAAGAGATATGTTAGGCAAGACATCATGGTATTGCATTGACAGATGCATTTTATTCTTTTACTTGCTTCCTTTTGCAAAATTAGGGCAGCATTTTGTAAACAATTTTAATCTAATGTGACAATTGCTCTCAAAACTGTTCATATTCTTAGTATAGATACTGGGGTAACCTGAAATAGGGCAGCTTCCTAAGTATATCCACAAAAAAGTGCATTTAAATGTGACGTGGATGCGTCATAAGGTTGGACGAGCAAGTGTGCGCTTGTAAAATGGCAACTGGCTGGAATGCTCCCCAGGGAGTAGAAAATGTGCATACATTGTGTGCGGGTAAGCCTGAATCCGATGACCGAGGTAATAATATATCTGTAAAGTGCTTAGGCACATCGTTGGATCGATGTATTGAGCGCTATATAAACACGGAATAATATTATTATTATCATTATTAACTTACACCAGAATCTCTCAATTCACATTTCTTTCTTGTATATGATAAATAGACCAACCAATGTTGAAATGAGTTAAAGTTTTACTCTTTCCAAGAAAATATAAGCATAAATGTCCTGTAGAAAATTGTTAAAGGGCGATATATATTGTCATTCTTTTCCGTCCTATTTACAAATATTGTAGAGGAATTTTTGTGTACAGTGTGTAAGGTATATTTAAATGAAATGTTGGCTAGTCTGTTGGATCAAATGGGGAAAAAAAATCTGTTCTGCCAAACTTTTAAAAAAAATGCTAGCAATGTAAACATATGTTCATACTAGTAGATACATGGATATTATGTAGTTACCTTTAGAATTGGAAAGAAACAAAATCTGTGTATTTTCTTTCTTTCAGCGGAAAACCCATCGCCGAAGACTGTTATCTGCAGATAGAGAACAGCTGATGATCACAAGGATTCAACAGGCCGTCATGTCGAATGCGTCAAGAATAAAAAAGAAGCCATTTCGAACACTTGTAAGCATAATAATTGCCATATAAAGCATACAGTAAAATCCATGTACATGTATGTTTTGTTTAATGTCCTCTTCCAGGTGTCTGTACATAGGGTTTACTTTTCCTTAACTGCAGCTACTTTATGTAAAGTATTAAATGCCTAGATGATATTAATAACGATAAACTATATTTGTATAGCGCATATCACTTTTCAGTCCCTTTGCGCTTTAGAGGTAAAGAGTTAAGAAGGAAGCAGACAATGATGGAAACATAGATTTAAAATCAAATACCAACTTAAACTTAACCAAAACTTGACTAAAACTACTGTTGAACAAATGAGTTTTCAGTCTGTTTGTAAACTGGTCTACTGTGACTGCCTCCTTTAACATGAGGGGGTGTTTCACAAAGATTTAAGTTAGACGTTAAGTTCCCAGTTGCGTGTGGTATATGACACATCATCATTGGTCAGATCATGCTAAGGGACGCGCGCTATTGGGTAATTTACCAATGAAATTACGCATTTAATACTGTATGCACATTGGCACTTACGCATGACTTTAATTCAAACTTAACTCTTTGTGAAACACCCCAAGGTATACCATTCCATAGTTAGCTGCTGCTACTTGGAATGGGGTCAACCTTGCCATTATATGAAGAAAAAAATCATATCAATTAATCAAAGAAGTACATTTTTTCTATGGTTCATTAAACAAAATTACATATAATTCATTTTCTATTCCTTATAGACCAACGCAGTTTACGAGCGGATGGAGAAGGAAGGACCCCTAAGTTTCACAGCTAAGGCTTTTTATGATAAAGCCAGACACATGAAGCTGGACAAAGACCCCCTAAAGTAGTGCCACGGTACAGCCTTGTCAAGATATAGATGTTTAGGGAATTGGTGATCTAAAATAAAGGAAATTGAATGTGGTTTCTTTCCTACCTTGTGTTGATGCAACACCTGTCGAAACCGGTACCAGAGTAAGAAAGCCACAATATTATCTCACTGTGACTTCTGAGATAATTTACAATGTGAGTTATAGGTAGACGTTCAATTATTGCACAGTTCCCTTAGAAAGAATATGTAGACTATTTACAAGTAATATCGCTTCTTTGCCGATGAAGTAAGGGAGACAAAACTTATAATCTCAATAAAGTAATAAGGCTTTAGAACCAAGCAGAGATTCGAGCGAAGAATGAAGATACGAATTATGATAAAGCTGAATTAGTCTGGATGTAGACTCTCTCTTTAAAATGCGTCTCCTCCTGGGTGCGCGCATGTGTTATTAAGTGCCTGCATGGGTAATGCGGGCTTTATATTAACGCCTATTTTAGTGCGCTTTTGGATAAGATAGTACAGATAAACGTTCATCCAATATTGTACACAGTGCAACGCACTTTTATCAAAGATAGTACACAGTGCAACACACTTTCGTTTTGTGCATACTCCAAATATTGATAACGCGCATTGTTACTCTATAGATCAAAGCTATTAACTTAAGAGATCAGCAAAACAAAAAACACTGTAGGGTGATTGATGGGCCAAAGTACAATTTATCACATGATTTACTTTCCACCAATCGTACAGCAAGATTCTTAGTGAGTGGAATATCATACCTTTAAGAGGTATTATTTGTTTTGTATCCAAAGTTGTTTGATTTTGTGTCTCTTCCCCATTGAGTATCCTCAACTAGTAATGATGACATATGCAGGGGATCTTTGTCTATTATTTTATATGCACATCGTGTATAATGCCTGAATAAAATGTATCGCTTTCTGTAATTGTTGGTGAGACATTGACCATGTACTACATGTACAGACATGCCAACCAGTACGATCTTATCGTATTTGGTACGATAAATGTGAAATACGATTGTACGATATCGCCCCATGATAATACTACTTTTCATATTAAAAAAAGAAAACTTGGTGTTTTTTTTGAAATATCAGACACTTGTTTTTTCTTTAAATTGGTTTATAATGTCAGTCAACAGGAATGTGGCACATATTTCCTCGAGTATATAATGCAAGTCTAAACAGTAATTTTTTTCTCAATTCTATTCTGGCTTGAACCAAACTTTCATTGGCCAAAATATGCAAGCATTCAGTTGTATAATATTCTCGTTATGCATTTAAACACCCTTTTTGCATCATAAGAATTATTACTGATGCATTACTATTTTCTCATTAAATGTTTAATGAAAGAGCAAACATTTTACTTGCTCGTTCTTACCAGTAAAAAAAAATCTGATATTTTGCTGGCCCAGGACCAATGATCAGCCAGCGGTAGTGTCAAGTTTTTGTAAAATTCTGATTTTTCTCTCAAAATCCAATTGGTTAGGATATTCAGTATGTTTTTTTTTGGTCAAGACGTTGGCATCTCTGCATGTATAAACAGTGTATATATTAAATTTATCTCTATATATGACCATGTATAGATTACCTGATTAAACATATTTTTTAAATATCTTGTTAGTGCATAACTTAAACAAAATAAGGTATCGTAGTGAAAATTTGTTGGTAAGATTAAAAAAATGTGAAATACGATTATACGATATCGCCCCTTGATAATACTACTTTTCATATTAAAAAAAGAAAACTTGGTGTTTTTTTTAAATATCAGACACTTGTTTTTTCTTTAAATTGGTTTATAATGTCAGTCAACAGGAATGTGGCACACATTCCTCAAGTATATAATGCAAATCTATACAGTAATTTTTTCTCAATTCTACTTCTGGCTTGAACCAAATTCTCATTGGCCAATATATGCAAGCAATTAAGTTGTATAATATTCTCGTTATGCATTTTAACACCCTTTTTGCATCCTAAGAATTATTACTGATGCACTACAATTTTCTCATTAAATGTTTAATGAAAGAGCAAACATTTTACTTGCTCGTTCTTACCAGTAAACAAACTTCTGACATTTTGCTGGCCCAGGGCCAGTGATCAGCCAAGTTTTTGTAAAAATCTGATTTTTCTCTCAAAATCTGATATTCAGTATGTTTTTTTTTTGGTCAAGACGTTGGCATCTCTGCATGTATAAACAGTGTATATATTAAATTTATCTCTATGTATGACCATGTATAGATTTACCTGATTAAATGTATTTTTTAAATATCTTGTTAGTGCATAACTTGAACGAAATAAGGTATCGTAGTGAAAATTTGTAAGAGTATGTAGGACCATGAGAAGATCATTAGGTGCTGAGGGACGTACTTGCTACATGTAACTTGAAGATATACATTCTGAAAACACTGTACATAACATTTTGAGGATAAAAAAAAGGGATGCAGAAAAGTACTGATTATGTTGCAACCATTAAAAACATTACACAATGCAGTACAGTTTAAAACAAACATGACATTGTATCTTTTGTATATTTTTTTATCCTTATGTTGTTTATGATGACATAGTGTTGGTAGTGAAGATGGTAATGATTGTGATAAACTGATGATCGTGAAGATGATGCTCATGTTGATTGTGTGTTGAAGATGAAAATTCCACAAAACATTGCAATGGCATGGTGTACTATTATTTAGCAGAATGTTTTTACAGTTACAATACGAATCAAATCTCTTAAACGATTTATCTCTTTTTGTTGAGATATGCTGTTGATCAGATAATAGATAGTAATAATTGTGAGGGTGATGATGATATTGATTGATTGATTGAATGATTGAATTTACTATTATTAATTTGATTTCCAGGAACATAGACATCAAGCATTAACAGTAATTAAACATTGTGACATATCAACAAGAACAACAACCAATACATGGTGATTGCCCAAAATAAATATTCATTTCTGTTTGCGCTCCTCATTGGTTGTTAGGCATACATATGAAAGATGCAAATAAAGCAGATAGACCTTCAAAAACATGTGGCAGTAACAAAACGAAAAAGAAAAGGAAAACAAAAAGTCTGATTTGTTAAATGATTAAACTATGTGGGGGGGGGGGGGGGGTCATCAAAGAGCAAATAATGTACTGATGATGCTGATGAGGCTTTTGAAATGTTTTTATCAACAATGATTGATTGGTACATCACTAACAGTAATGATCATTAGGCCTTCATTATTTGGGGCTTGATGGATTAGTGGTAGAACAGTGGTCAAATAATATTAATAATCATATTAATGAATTTATATAGTGCATTTCCATATACATCTTCAAATGTGCTGTGCAGATAACTCAGATATTGTCCTTTTGCAGTGCAAGACAAAGGGGGGGGGGGGCACTGCTTTCAGGATGGATGGCAAGGGGGAGGGGCACCGATCTTAGTAATTATTTGCAAGGCAAATTGGGAAGAGGGTGTACAAGGGGTCATATCATCTTCCTGGTCTTTGATCAGGTTCCTTCCCCCCTCTTTGATTGTTTTTTTAATTTATTTTTTTCTCTCTTTCATTTTGACCACTTGATGGGGAGCGGGGGGGGGGGGGGGAGACACAGACTCCCTAATCGCCCCCTCCAGCTTCACTGCCGTTTTTTAAAGGCATTACTTGTCCATTTCAATTTTCCTTGTGCAGTATTCAAATGCCATGGGTGTCCAGTAGCTATCAAAAAGCATATATCCTTGATTTGAAAAAATAAGGGATAGAAAAATCATCACCATAATTTATGAGAAAAATTACATGTACTTTTTAATAAAAAGAGAAAAATAGCCTGTTCATATCTGTGATTATTATAAATCTTGAATAATGAAAAATTCAATGCTATGACAATGATACACATGTAACTAAAATGCAGCATGTAGTATTATTGACTGGTGTTATTTACAGAATTGTTAATACAAAAAGTAGAAGGCATTCCTTTAGAAAACTTTTGGTGGCAGTAGAGGGCGCTATAATTATTTTTGGGGACTTTAAAAAATGAAAAAGTGAGAACATATTTTCTCTACTACTTTTAAGCTTTAGGAAGATGGGATGATCATTTTCATTAAATTTTGATATTCAAAATATAGGAAATCTTGAAAATGGGGCATTTCCCTGTATTATTTGCATTTCACTGTCATTTTTATCTGGCACACATTTACCAAAAAAGTGAACTAACAATAGAAAACAAAGGCAAAATTTTCAAGTAACACGATTAGGGTTAGAGTTTTTGAGTCAAAATTGTTGTTTTTTAGGGTAAATTTTATTGTTAAGGCTATATGATTGATATTTTCTATATAAATGAGCAATGACATTGAAGAAAACTGTAGAATTGACTGGTTCCTGTGAAACAACTTTACCATGTTATGGTCATATTTTCTGGAGAAAATGACTATGATGCCCAATAAATTCCATTGAGAAAAAATCATTAAAAAAAATATCGCTGTTTATATCAACATACAAATTGTTAAATTACTTTCATAAATATATTATCTAAGTACTAATACCAAAATAGAACAATGTGTGATGAGATTAAGTGAAAAAAAAGTTTGATCTTTCAAGTAGAAGGAAAAACAATTTTTTACATTTGCTTCACTATGTTGGTCACATTAGGGGTTGTCTAGTATTATGGTAAAGAGGACACTTTTTCAAATTTGGAGAGGGAATAAAAGTGGATTACTATATCATAGTAATTTTGATAAGGGAATGGATTATTCCCTCTGCAAAAATTATATTCTCTTGACTTTTCAATGTCAAATCATGGTGAAAAAACCTGTGTCACAACTTTACCATTTTTTCAACCTGGTAATGGGTAAAGTTGTTGTCATTTTCCTATTCAAAGTGCATGAAAATTTCAAAGTCTCATAATTGAGTGAGCAAAAGGGGGAGGGGCTTTAAATGCAAAAAGTGGACAACAACTTTACCATGAGAGACGGAGAGAGAGAGAGAGAGAGAATGCATTCTGAAGAAAAGGGTGGGTGATTGAATTTAAGGGATAGTACAAATGGTGTGAAAGCAGCCAGCGTACCATGTATAAATATACTGAAGGATATCGAATAGACCAGACAGTTATCTACAGGTTCCTGTATAAACCAGTGATGACAGCTTTTTGTTTGTCCAATAAGTATTTAGATCAAATCTGTACCGTATTTTCATGCATGTGCGCAATACATAACTTTATGTGGCCAATGCACTTTTGCCATCCGATGACTCAATGCTCACAATTTTTTAAAGACAGACACTATCGTTACTGTTCCTCTATTTCACGTGGGCCATAATAAATGCAATTATGCAAGGTGAAATATATCAACAAAAATACAGGCAAGGCAATATTCTGTACATGTATGGACACAACACAAAGAGCCCTGACCTTCAGTCTTATATTTCTATTTAGAGGTATTACTTCAACTTTTAAAAATACATATAAAAATATCCCCTGGTTGGTGGCAGTGGTATTGAAATTACTCATGTAGTGATGACGACATACATGCCCATTCAATCTCTTTTTTAACTTCTGGATACTTTGTGTAAGATGGAATATCATGTTTATTTATGTAGCATACTAGCATATACATGTATATGCACTAGCTGTAGCCTGTAGACCTACAAGACATAATGCTCTGGGTTCACCAAAAGACAGTCTAAAAACTGTGACCTCAGAGTTTTCTACTCATAGTCATAGGCCTATCCTTCAGTTCTAGAACTAAGAGTAAGGACAGCAGGCACCATTATTTCAGTTCCTTCAAGACCTACTTGTACCATAGCGTTTGTTCCAAAATGAAGATTGATGTCCCGAGGTGGTGTTTCATACGTTAGATTATGTAGACCCAATGGTAGATGATGCCGAGGGGCAGATGACCTTATATACTTCACAGGTCTGCTATGTGCGGTATGCTATCACTGCCTATCGGGTGGGTTCATCACTTTACGACACTCTCCCACATGTTTGCTTGTCAGTGTTTCCCAAACAACATGCAACAGATTTGACAGGTCCACTATGAAAAATACAGTACAGGGACATTTTGTATGGCCCAAAATCAGTTGTACGACAACTGCTCCTGTCGATATCCTACAGTAACAGAGTTCCTTACTTCAAACTTGGACCAAACACCAAACCTAAACCTTAATCGCGAGTTAACCTTCACCTTAAATGTAACCTAGAAGTAAATTGCAACCCTCAGTCTTGAGTCCCTATACCCTATCCATAATCCATATATCTTTGACATAAACAAAACCAGGAGCAACGTACTACATGAAATGAATTGCTCTAGCCTTCATACTAAGTTACTTTTATTGTAAAGTTTAAAAGATTTGAATAAAATCAGTGAAAATTTGAACAAAATCGGGCAAGGAATAAGAAAGTTAGAGCTTTTTAAAATGACTAGTCACTAGAGGGCGGTATTCAATTTGATGACATCATCTGTGAACAACTCTCCATGCCTTTTGTACATAAAATTTCACAATTTTTTTGTTTTCTTCGTATTTATTTGTGTTCTTGATCCGACTTCATAACATGTGAAGTAGAATATCATTTTGCATTCTATATCTTGCTTTCAGGGGGTACATTATCTCAATCACAAGAAAGAAGGAAAAACATGAAATTTGATGTACAAAAGGCATGGAGAGTTGTCCACAGATGATGTCATCAAATTGAATACCGCCCTCTAGTGACTAGTAATTTCAAAAAGCTCTTACTTCCTTATTCCTTGCCCGATTTTGTTCAAATTTTCACTGATATTTTTCAAATATCTTAAACTTTACAATAAAAGTAACTTAGTATGAAGGTTTTGGTTTCCTTTAAGAAATTGAAAAAGAAATAGAAATTGATTCAGGAAAAAAACAAATATAGGAATTTACAAATATTTGTCAAACAGAAGTTTCAGATCCATGCCATCTGTAATGATGAACTTGTGCATGTGATCCACATGAGTGTAACCTAGTCTGATAACTTGTGAGAAAATAGGTCCAGACGACAGTGCAGCTGTGTTTGAAATGCAGATTCTCCTCTAGTCTTGGGCTATAGGGTTTCAGTAGAACCAAAGAGATATTTTTATCCTCATCCTGGTTTAGGAATTCAGGAGTTTCCATTCCTCTCTGATCCAACACTTTCTGGTTGGAGATGAGGAGGAAACCTAAGGAGGAGTTATCACAGCATTGGATTTGACCTTTGTTGACCTCTATGGGCTGGGCCATCCCATTGATGGGAGAGGACAAGAGAACACTGGGCCTCTTCCCAGGAGATGTCACGTTTAGTCTTCTCAAACAGTCTGTCAATTGTACCACAAAATAAGAATTCAAACATATCATTTCATATGAGTGATACAATTAAATGACATGATGAATAAACACATCCAGTTTTCCAGTTATTTCAAACGATTCAAAACAATTAATCAGAGAATTAAGTTTAGAGATGAAAAGCAGAAAGAGAGAAGGTTGGTAAATGGTAATGCGGCAAGCACAGGGGTTCCTGTCACCATCTATAAATCT